ATTGTATACTAGGTATGCCCATAATAATACCGAATACAGGAAAACACGGACAGGTAATATGTCATTTCTCCTCGCACATATACCACACTTATAACCACACGGTTCAGGTACTATTTTGTTGGCGTCGGCCCTTTCTCACTGTACCACGCTAAAATCGCTTCTCTAAGCCGGGTACACGGAATCGAAGCCAAAAAAAATTGTCCACGCATTTCTCGTGCTTCCCTGCAAAGGGCGTCGAAAGAGGATAGTCTTCTGTCTGGAGGCGCTGCGTGAAATGAGGCGCCATCTGGTGGTATATTATGAAGAAACGAAGGCCACGGCCGGACTGGACTGCCCCTGCGCGCTCCTTAGCGCGCGCAGGTGCAGTCTAGCCCGGCCGTGTGAACTCTTGTTTAGCACTCACAGAATCTGGTAGGTGGCAGCACTGGGTCGTTTTAGTTTTAATAAAGCCCCAGGGTGTTTTAGCGAAGCGCAGAAAAGACCCGCCTTTTTGTTCAGTGCGTCGCATTGTGGGCGCACCGTATTAAACACCTCGTTCTTTAGTGGGCGCACCGTATTAAACACCTCGTTCCTTCATTTATGCATTTTATAAAGATAAAGTACACAGTGCCTAACAACAAATGTTTAATGTAGCGCCTAAAATGTGCATAATATTTGCTTTTTGATTGACGACATTCACAAGCATGAAGGGAGCCACCAGTTTAAGACGGATGAGCTTTGAGCGAGTAATTAAATTTTCGCCGGATGGGCTGAATTGTTGGACAGGCACCAGCAGACAGACAGAGCAAAATATTTGCGTTGAAGTATCCCACAAAAGAATTTCGTCTTCAATATGCATGCCCAGCTGTCATGCTGCCACCTCTTGATGTAGCAGAGACAAGTCCAGGAGGTCACCTGCTGTCCATCTGGCATAAACCATTTTGTACCAGTTGCCTTTATCTCATGCCTCATACTTCCTAAGTTTTTTTTCGCGTCGTGTTGGTATCTGCAACCTTATACTGCACCTCCTCCCCTCTCCTCGCTTTTATTCTGTTGTACGTCCACTGTGTGACTTGAATACATCACCGACTTCTCGCTGCTTGCCATCAATTTTCGAGAAACAAAAAGGAATTGACGCTGAAGAAAAGAAAAACTTGCTCTAGAAAGTTGTAGGTTGGGCACCAGCCAACGGAAATTTTCTTTCACAACTCAATTTAATCAATTTGCATTTGTATTATACTTAGTGCACTGCAAATAAAACAACAAATAATTTATTTAGCCCCTCTCTTGACTTCATTCGCTGTCGGATTTATGGGTAAAAATGATATTGAAATCTGTACAGTGCGTTTTACGTTCATTTTCTCATAACCAAGTGGTACGTAGGTCTGTAGTTTCAACCTCATCACAGGTGCCACGATATCAATTTGGCTATGAAAAGCGAGAGGTAGCTTCTGACGCATAGTGTTTATATGAAACTAAAGAGAGGCTACAGAGTGTTTTTGCGGAAAACACGTTCAGAACACGTACTTCGTCACTTCTCGGTGACACTAAGACACAACCTTGTAAGCCGCTTTGAAGTGCAAAGAAGGATGTTCTACATTGTCCATTGTACAAGGCTGTGCAAAATGTCTGAAAAGTGATCCGCTTGAACAGACCCTAGATAAAGCACTTCCCATATCACAAGGTGTGCCTATGTTTAGACGCACGGACAAAGAAATTTTGTTAACTCGCCATGCCGTATAAATACAGATGCAGATGGGTGAATTGTACAATAAAAGCGGTCCTCGAACTGACTTTTATGTCCAGAAACCTTACCTTTTGCAGAGAGGCGACATTACAGAGAATGTTTCAATAATTTTGCTTAGTAATATTTAAAGATTACAGAGAGGAGACATCTGTGTCCTACCTGCGGCGTTTCCTTTATTTTGACGGAAGGAATCTTCGGATGTGTACAAGTATTATTACAGCAGTAATTAGAGGAATTAAAACACGTAACTTTTTACAGTGGCATTAGCCGATTGAGTCCAACAGGCAAATTCAAGTCCTAGTTAAGAATCGTGCATAGCCACATTGAAATTTCGGAAAGGTGGCCTATGGTAATCACCGCGGCGTGATGAAATCTGGCCAATTTAGCTGGTGAAACCGAAACAAACGCACCAAACAGTGCATCTACCATTCACTTCTACAATGCCCTCATGGACGACACTGTTATCTTAGAATAGGGCGAGAAGAATAAGTGAACGTTGATAAGCGGCCACGAAGCGAAGTGTCTAGATTGTCGATTGATAACGCCAAGGAAAACATGCATTGTCGTCAGTCAATGAGGGCATTGCCGAATGGAATAGTATATGCGCTGTTTGACGCGTCTGTTTTGGTTGCGCCAGCTAAATTGGCCAGATTTCATCGCTCCGCGCTGATTAACAGTGGCCTCCTCTCTAAAATTTCAAAGTGGCTATGGACTATTCGCAGGAAGGACTTTAATTCGGCCACACGATTTGATCGCGTATTCCAACTGGTTAAAAAACTAACTGTTTTATTCCTGCAATAACTGCCGTAAGTAATGTTTGTAGCCATCTGAAGATGCCTTCTGCCAGAGTAAACGGAACGTCGCAGGTCGGACACACATGCCTCCTTTCTGTAACTTTTGAAGAATATTTGACACATTTCTTAAAACACCCTGTATATGAGTACATATATACGCACATTTATACATACCAATACACCCGCACATAGGGATATGTAGCACCACGAATCATTAACGTATAAGGCACCAAATTCTGCGACGGGATTGGCGAACGCATGTCACAGGCGGACATGATTTATTCGAGTAGCTGCGCATTAGTTGAGCTTTGAAAGACGGTCTCACGGTGAGGGGTTTATAATATGAAACGTGTAGATGAATCTAAAGCGTATCGCAACTTGTACAAGATCGCCGAAAGCTGGTTCCCCGGAGATATGGTGGACATCTAGCTGGCCCTAGCTCAGCCAAGCTTCTACTCTCTCCGCTGTCCCTTTTTCACATGGCTATGCATTCTCTCTCTGAAATTTTCGTGTGTTTCTTTCTCAATATCCATTTTCTTTGTATATATATATATATATATATATATATATATATATATATATATATATAGGTATGGGATATGGCACAACGGGCGCGTTGTCAACAAGGATAAATATATTTATTTCCCAACAGTTTCGGGAGGGGTCCTCCTTTCATCAGGGGATAACTCATCCCCTGATTAAGGGAGGACCCCTCCCGAAACTGTTGGGAAATAAATATATTTATCCTTGTTGACAACGCTCCCGTTGTGCCATATCCCATACCTTCACGAAGACTAACTGGCACATTGAATTATTACTTCCACTATATATATATATATATATATATATATATATATATATATATATATATATATATATATATATATATATATATAAAATTAGGCGGTTAACACAGCTGACCACACTGGTTCAATAAAAATCAAATAGAACACATGGGTGGCAAACACTGATTACGGACCACAAGTTTCAGCATCTCTTGTTAACCATTTGTGCAGAGTGCTAACGGGGCCGCGACTGAGCCTGTCCCTGTTCATGAAGATGACAATTTCCCAACTACGACACGCGACCAACTTAGCCGTACCAGCTGTGCTGTGCAAGATTAACTAAATTATCTTCGTTTATACCAACTGGAAATGATTAAGCTTTCACATCATATTTCTTCACCGATAAGATTCCCTATTGGCAGAACCCGAATCCTTCAAAATGTGACACGTATGAGCATAAAAACAGCTCGAAATTACTACCTTTTGGTGAGTCGTTTTACGAGCTAACCTTAATACATCGGCATTAGTTTTTAAGTCTACAGATATTAAAATTCATCATCTATCTGATGTGTTTTTTTTAAAGCTTCCACAAAAAGACGTTATCGGGCAAAATCAACATCAATGCTTAAATTCCAAACAACAGGTGTATAGCGAAGAAACTGCTCGGTAAGAAAATGCGATAGAAAAAGCAGTACGAAGAACATGCTATTGTCCACATGTCTAGATTTCGCATATTATTGTTCGGTCATGACTGAAGCGTGTCGAAGGGCAAAGAAGGACATTGTTCTACTTAACGGGTGGGAAGAAAAAAACGCAAGTGAGACGGAGTGAAAATAAAAATGGTAAATGTCGTAAACACTACAAAACAAAACACAGAGGCCTCAGGGACACGGATACGGAAATATTCTGTTACTGCTGTCACTAAGGCTAGTATGTTGTAAACTTTTGCCTTCTTTTTACCACGCTGTTTTGGAACAAAAAAAAAACTGGAAGGATATTAGCAGCGCTACCTGGGAGCAGTCTTATCTCACAAAGGATAAATAATGTCCGACTCAGAAACGCCGTTATCTAATGACGCAAACGTCATTGGTCAATTCATTCGTGAGCAAGAATTGTTTTCGCTACTCAGAGATGTATTTTTCAAGTTCGTGTTAAAACGTAACACGTGAAGTCGGGTATAAGCAACGATTGGCGTTTCACTCATACGTGCGTAAAAGATGACAAAGGCACCCTCGTAACCTCTGCGTTTCCAGTGGGAATAACCCCGACACGACACACACTGAAAAACAATCACGAAAAAATAAAACCTCGAAAGTTTGAAGCAGCCAGCGTCTATCACTGATGTAGCAATACACACCGCAGGTCTTTCAGGCACATACCCCAAATGAACCGGCGCGCGCGTATGCTAGTGCACATGTGTCGCGCTCATTTTTAATTCTGGAACAAGCGACTGACGGCTCTCTCCTCCCGAGCCACAGGTGCACACCCATAGAGTAATAACACACCTCTCAACCTCCTCCTTCCTGTTTGAAACCGACCAACCAGCGTCGAGCAAGGCACGCCGGACGCTGACGTGATAAACCCTTCTCTCTCTCAGTCACCTGATCTGGCTGGCGTGCCAGATCGAACGCTCACATTCGTAACGCTGTCTGGGTTTCGTTCGTCTCGTCAGTTTCCACGGGAATTCGTAAAACTGTCCAAGGGCCACCCGATCTCGTTGCGAGTGACGCGTTAAACGAATGTCTAAGAATGCCGCGTCAGTTATACGTATCACGGCTTACACTGTGGCGAATCACGTAAAGATGTTGGTCCACGTTTTCCGTTGCGTTCGCCGGCCATCTTCTGTGCTCATTCGCGCGCGCAGCGCCAGTCGTGCGGCGGCATCTGTTGTGCGGGGCGAGCAGCGGCAGTGCAGAGCGATCGTGTTTGCGCATACGACACGTGTCACACAGCTGCGAGCCGAACAACAATAAGACATGGGAGCCTCGTAGCCCTGAAAAGGAAAGCCGCAGAGGAGATATAGCAGGTGTCGGCCTCGCAGGGATAACTCCTGCCCTTCTGGGCAAGAATTTCGATGCTCGCTGCGCAGCAGGGCCTCCACTGCCGCGTCACAATTCTACAGCGCACGCTCGCGCCGATCTCGTTCCGTTCGCATTTTTTTCCTATTTGTAGTTGCACTTCGTCGTGGAAGCTGCGGGGCACGTTTATTTAGGTAAATATTGAAGTACTGTGGCACTGATTAACAGCGGTGTGGCGTTCTTTGGCCGATACGTCCGTACATCCGAGCGTACGGGACAATGCAATGAGTGGCAGGCATCGCTCATTCCGCTAGGCCCACTCACAGGAAGGATACAAAACGAGAGCCCGGATTTTCTCTTCTATCGGATGATGACATATCGCTCCGGAAGTGGATTCCATTGACACTGCGGGAGAATCCTGCGACTACAAGCCCCGTCCAGGTAGGACATTCACGCTACTATTACGATACCGTTCAAAGTACGTACGTTATAATGTCACGTTGCCGAAAATGACCGGATCAACGAACGATGCCCACCACTATCAGCGTAACGCCATATACGAACAGAAAAAATATTTGCAGTGTAGCAAAGCCTGAGCATTGGAACGCTTTGACTACATGTTTGGATATGCTTTGAATTTTTCAAAATTAGTTGAGTACGCATTTCAATGCATTGTACTACATTATATATATACCACAGTCTCGATTCGCCGGTGTAAGCAGATTTTTTAATGGACTCATTTTTTTCTGAAACTGATCGTGCTGGTAAGAAGCCTCCCTTTGAATACCTACACTTGGTATTCACTGTTGCAACTTGTCTGCGCTCGGTATCAATTTTTTTTTTTTGCAGATACTTTTTTATCATTACTCCTACGGTTACATGACGTTAATGCTGCAGTTGCTATACAGCACCAGAGCTGTGCCACTTCCCGTCCACAATCCGGAACGAGTTGTCTCATACTTTTAAATGTACTGCGGTGTGTTACTGGGTAAGAGAACGCCACTTTCCATTGAACGTAATGAAGGTTCCATTATTTATCGTGCTGCATGTAAAAACGTTACCATGTTCAGTGCAAAAAAAAAAACCGATAGAACAAGTACTATGTGCTCTACGGTTGTTAAGCAGCTCAAGAAAACACCCCAGTGAAAACATCGAAATACGTGTTGTTTCGGGAATATGTTGAAGTAGCACCGCATTCGATTTCATCCACACGACGATACGATGATAATAACCGGGAGTATTTACTTCCGAATACTGCGCACAGTTCTCCGCGACAGGTATCTTACAATGTGAACCATAAATTTGCTTTGGAAATGTAAGCGTTCCCTTTATTAGTACTAAACTATGTGTAATCGCTATAAGAGAAGACAGCAATAGAAAATAGTAAGAACTCAAAGCTCCCGAAGTAAGCGGAACGAAAAAAGCAATGGCGACGATAAGAGACGTAGCTGACACGTTGCATAAATCATTAAGTTGACTAGTGATGACATTCATCTCAGCCGATATTTGCACTCTCGGAAGACGACTTAAAAGCTCTTCAAATGTCAGCGCTCCATCTGGCGCTGAAATATGCTCTCTTACTTATTCGGTTTCACAATTTTGATGAACTTTTTTCACGTGAGCTTTTTATGCCACAACTGAGTAACCAAGGCGTGGGCCTTACGCTCGCCATTTAACTGAAGAACCTCTGAACTTTGATCAGATCATGTGAAATGATCAATAATGATGGTTGTCCCACTGCTGCTGCTGATTGATGACTTTGACGACGTCAATTTAGAAACTGTCACAAGAAAGCGCCACCTGGCCTCTTTGTTTTAATCGTGTGGGATATTCGTACTCAATAACAAACCGCCCCGGCATTTAGAGCTATAGTTTTCCCCCCGATCTTTTCATTTTAGACCCAAGATTCTATTGATGATTGATATTTGGGGTTTAACGTCCCGAAACCACTATATGATTATGAGAGACGCCGTAGTGGAGGGCTCCGGAAATTTCGACCACCTGGGGTTCTTTAACGTGCACCCAAATCTGAGCACACGGGCCTACAACATTTCCGCCTCCACCGGAAATGCAGCCGCCGCAGCCGGGATCCGAACCCGCGACCTGCGGGTCAGCAGCCGAGTACCTTAGCCACTAGACCACCGCGGCGGGGCCTAAGCTTCTATATGTGTTCATTACACACACATAGAACATACACATTCGAACAATGATTTTTTCAGTACCTTGACGGCGTGCTTCTATGAATATTACCGCCATGCTTATATTTGGCAGTGTAGTTCACGGTTTAAAGCTAGCATGCCGTCTAGTGGTATTTCTGCTTAGTTATCGGCTGAAATGAATTCGTCAACTTCTGGCAAATGCAGCCTGTGTAAGTGGCGAGGAAACCAGTACCGCACACGGGCTGATTAGGAAAGAAGCAAGCAGAAAAGAAGAAAGCAGGGAGGTTAAGGACGATTTCTGGTTGGCTGTCCTACACTAAAGGATTGAGGAAAGGGACAAGAGAGATGAGAAAGAGGAAGAATGGAAGAGAAGGAATGGAAAAAGGGAGAGGGAGACAGTAAGTTTACTGCAGCGTGTGTAACTACACCGCAATTCAGAGGCGTTCAGAAATCCCGTAGATAAAAGTGTGACGCCCTAACAAGGCTAAAATATCAGAACTGCGACGTTCATCAAGCTCAGTGAAGAGTTGCGAGCCAAGGCACATAAATCGGCCGAACTAAACGTTGTTTTCTCGCATTCAATCTGACGCGTCTAAGTGGGACTGCGAACCTTAATCAAGTATCTGCCTTTTAGTTAAGGCGCTGGGCTTCCTTATTGGGCAACGCAGGTCTCTCAAAAATGCTTTTGAATACTTGGGCTCACGGAATCAAATTGAAGACACTTATCGAGTGCTTTCTACCTATTCAAAATAACCAAGTATATATTATATAACCGCTATAGAACAAAGAACATTTATTTGTGAAAACATCTCTTAGGGTGCTTTTCGGCAGCTTTGCTTTGTCAAACACAAAAACAAACTATGTGAAAGGACTTTAAAAAAAAAGATGGTGTATGCGGTGACGCTAAACTTCTGGTCTTCAATGAGCTCCTAATACAATGAAGAAGATGCACATATGAGCTAAAATAATTGCTTTATTTGATTTGGGATTACTGAAGGTTACATCTTCATGTAAATATTATAAAAATAGAGCATCACCAGCTGTACCGCCATTGTGATAATATTTCCAGCTGCTTCGTTTTATATGTTTCACAAAGTAAAGTTGCCGAAAACCGCTGTAAAATCATGTATATGCACATGCTAGAATGAATTGTAGGAAGGTCATATATTTTGTTCAAAAACGGCTTTTAAAAATTTACTCGAAAATTCGGAGTCTTCAGAAAACTACCGAATAAGCGTTTTCAATTTCTTTCCACTCACCCCCTAAATAAAGTGTTTTTAAATCCGACGTCTTCCTTTCAAGAGTGACGTTTGTGTGAGAACTCGGATATCAAAGACCAAAGGATGGCACTGCCTTTGAGTCTTTGAGTATACTTTGCTTAGAAATACACAATCAGCTTCAAGTGCTTCCCTGAAAGCGTCCCTTGGATTTCAGTGTAAATGTGTACTCTACCGGCGCTTGAATGCGTTACCGAGTATAAGTTCACAACATGACCATTGGTTATGAGCAGCTGGATGGAGACACTCCTAAAACACACCACCGAAATTTTTCTACATTCGGACTCGGCAAAGAAGCGCAGTACATATTTGCGGCTTGTCGGCCCGTGTAAACTAAGTTGACCCTGCAGTTGTGGAAAGGATAAGTTTTACAAACTGGTTTCTCCGCGGCGTCTACAAAGCGATTAACTTTAGTCATAACCTGCGTTGTTAATATCGATCATTGACATGTGGTTTGCTAAACGTGGGCAAGCGAAGTTTAACTGAATGCACGTTCAGTGCACAAAATGACGCACCACTGCAAATGCAGAATATTGAAGTTAATCAAACAACGCAACAAAAGAACCATCTCATGATGAGGCTCGAGCTTTTGTGCCAGCTGTTAAGTGAACTCGAGTACAGCCAGCAATGGTTTTGTATGCAATGCTCCAGTGCTATTCAAAATTCTGCGCAATACATGTGTGCTTGTTTGGGAAAACTGAGCACCGAATAAGCGTGCCTTCTAATTGACGTGATGGAACGATCATTTGAAGCCTGCTGGATCTGCTACAGGGTACTGCCAAGATGTCAATGCACATAAAAAAAGCTGACCCACTAAAACAACTTATCTTGTTATATACAAAAACAGCCCGGAAAACGGAGCACATGGAAAAGGAGGGCACAGACGACGGCACTACCAACACAGCCTAGCATCCGCTCCAGCTTATCTAGCCACCTTCTCTAGCATTCCGTGAAAGTTTAGCGGCGTGCTCATATATTTGCAGGCACAGCTTTGATACAAGCGAACTTTCAGCCGCCGTTCATTTCGTGCGGGCTGCTCCTCCATGGAGCAAAATAGGTCGCGCACGATAAGACTGACCCTCGAGGATGGCGAAGACACTTTCTTAACTTCGCACCACTTGGCCGCCATCGCGGCACGAAGCATCGCCTGTGAATGGCGTAACAATAGCTGCTTCGTATAACGCACAAAGGTCGCACAACCCTTCATGCATTTGATTGATTGATATGTGAGGTGTAACGTCCCAAAACCACCGCATAATTATGAGAGACGCTGTAGTGCCGGGCTTCGGAAATTTTGACAACGTGGGGTTCTTTAACGTGCACCCAAATCTAAGCACACGGGCCTACAACATTTCCGCCTCCATCGGAAATGCAGCCGCCGCAACCGGGATTTGATCCCGCGCCCTGCGAGTCAGCAGCCGAGTACCTTAGCCACTAGACCACCGCGGTGGGGCAAGCCTTCATGCAGGACGCCGATTTGGTTGTGTGCGTGCGTGTGTATAAGCGTGCGTTGAAGAAGAGTAAAGGCCAAATAACTAACATCTTAATTATCAAGGAGTTCTTGTTACTCGGCCAGGGATCTCTCAATATTCTATCCAGCATAGATATTGTCTTGCACACAACACATCACAATATATGCCACAAAATAGATCACGTGTGACTGCAAAAGTAATATGCAGCTTAGAACAAGCCTTTGATCAGTAATGATTCAAAAATGCATAAGAGAATTCTCTCGAAAACCACTTGCAGGTTACCGAAGTTGTACATTGCGAAACACCCTCCTTTCTGTATGTTGTGTGTAACCAGTGCACAGCAAGTGTAGTCACCGCCTTGTGCGATCCGTGCTAAAATGCCTCAGAGCATTCTAGATAGTTCTCGGATCATCTGTATGGTTTTGGAGCATAAACTTGAACAGCTGAGTTTAATCTGGAACAGACTCAGCTATCAGCGATAACGCAGGTGGCCGAGTTAATAAATACAATAAGGCACTCAACATTGGATCTTGCCTTAAATTTCCGGTTCCTTAAGTTTCCGAAGAATACAAACTCTTACGCCGAATACCATATGAGACACACAGACATACAGACACCTTATCAAGCGAAATTCCTGGAAACCGAGAGAGGCATGTACTTTGTGAATTTTTCATGAAAGCGAACACGCGAGCGCGTCGGCTGTGCGCTGCGGTGGCTGCGTGCAGCGTGTTCAAACGGGAACGAGAGCAACGACAGTCTTTTTTCACGTCATCTAGTGGCGAGCAAACCAATCAGTCATTGGCGATATGAAACGGTGGCAAGCTTATCCCTTCAACACGGAACAGGAGCGAAAGGAAAGGCAGGGATAATAACCAGTCTAGGACGAATGGTATGCAACTTTACACCAGGGACAGGGTTGAGGAAGTTTGAAAGATGGAGAGAGGGAGAGAGAGAAGAGCACGCGCACTTGAAGCCGCAGATCACAGTAATTCTAACATCATTTATTAGTCTTTAACCGCTGGTCCAAGTCCGTTGCCTTCAAGGAGCTGAGGACTGCTTTCGTCACCTTCACTCGTGATG